AGCTGGTTGGAACGTTTTAGTGCGTGATAGCTACTTTGCATGTGTAGCTGGTCTCAAGGTAATTGCTCAGTTAACCAATTAATTGCATAATTGATATCTTTATCATGTAGAGGGGGCCTCTGTCTCTGAAAACTGTGAGTGGAACAATTCGAGAGAGAACTTATTTGCACATACAAGGCATTGCAGCAGCAAATGCCCCTACATCCCTCCTCATGCTGAACAGAGGTGTCATATGAATCTGATTAAAGAATTATCATGGGCAACTGAATTTTGTCCAATAGGAAAACAAGGTAATAACTGACTACAAGGCCATTGCGGAATTTATAATACATCCAGCAATGAAACGGATGCAAGAGACCAAAGGTTCTCAAAACATCTTGCCATCAGCATCCCAAATTTCTTGCTATGTAATGATAACTTAAAAAAAGAAACATTTAGTAGGAAGACTGCCGGTGTCCAGGAATCTGAGGCTTCATAACCACATTCAAATTCTAAGATTTCCCACATACTCTGGGCTATCATAACTGTAGAAGCCTCAGGAAGTTCCCACTTGTAAGGTCATCAGCAAGGCGTGCATACCCAGTTGTGCTGCTGGAGTACTGGTAAAGAACTTCCTTCACATATTTATCATTATGTGGGAGGTAACAATATAAAGACTCCATCAAAGGAAACTTGAAGGTACAATATCCAAGAGGAACAATGATAAATGCAGTGGATTGGATAAGGGCAATAGTATGCCTTGGCTAATGCAGGTGTGAATGCACAGCTAAAAGAGGAACTGCTGACTTCTCTTGGTTCAGCACTTTCCTAGAAAGGGTGGGGCATAATGGTGTTCCAGGGGGCCACATGTAGTGAATTCTGGTAAGCACTATGTATCATTCCCTTTTGCACATGGGTGTCGTAAGTCATGATAGTTAGTTTCTATTAGTGGAACTGATTAGGGATAGTCTGCCTTCTCCTCATCTTCACTGCAGGGCTATATGTGATCTCAGACTCTGTGATATATATTTGTGAGGCAGGCATTATATGATTGATTTATACCTTATTTTCCTAAAACACTTTTCAGTTAGGTGAAATATTTTATGTAAACAAAGAGATGGTAAGCAATCTACCATAACACATATAATCTGTTTTATTTTCTGTTAGTTATATGACACTTTGTTTTTGTAAAATAGAATGGGGATTAGTGTTTAAATCCTTCAAGTTTCTGTTAATGTAGTGGAATATTCAGGGTCATGTCTTCACTTTCAGTTTTACTGTTTATCTTCGTAAACTGCTACAAAGTCAACAACCTTGTCAGTTTGTGTTAAATTTAACCGTACTAAGCTCTATCTTTTTACTGGAGGCAGTGGGGTTGATGCATCTCTAAATGTTGTGTGTAAGACAAAGGGCAGAGAAAACATAAGAACATGTTATGGTGGTGTTTCTTGACAGTTATCTTGATTAAAATGACTTTGTCATCCTTTCAACTGTATCATCATAAATACGTTTTGTTATCTCCAGCATTTTGGGTCATAATGATAGTTCTTGCTTTCTTTCAAATGTTAGATTTGCAATTAATTCAGTATTGAGGTTTGTACTACAGTAAAATATGATAAAATAATAGCAGTCCAGTGAGATTTAGTTAGTCTGAATCAGTTTGCAAACCGCTTTTATAAATATTAACAGGAAAACCCAGCAGTATAACAAATGAGTAACCCCTTCTGTGGTTCTCATTGGACCAATCACCACTGAAACATTTTGAATGCTTAGATATAACACAGATTAATCAGTTTTGACTGACCTACATTCTAGTTAAGGTATTATGTTATATAGCATTGATTACAAAGTCTATTTATTTGCTATATCTTAATTGTACATGATATTGGGCCTTTTGAGTTTGAGACTTTCTAAAGGTTATTCTGTTGAAGGAAACATTTGTAAAAAAGCATGACACCAAACTTCGTAAGAACTTTTTTCTAGATTAACTTTGCTCATAAATGGGCTATTCTGATCAAACTTAAGATAAAGCAGTTATAATGACAACTGCTGTCTATGGGAAGGTAAGATACTATTGAGTTTCTATTCTAAAGTAGATAGTCAAGCTGGGTCTGTATTAGATGTACGCCTTCTGTACCAAGAGTCTTTTAGAATGCTTATTATTAAGCATTGCTCCATGAACCAGATCTTATTTAGTGTTCACTAGACATTTGAACTGTTGATTCTAAGCCCTTAATTCAGTTCTATCTAAGACGCTTCTACAAAAGAGAGACGTTAACACTAAAAAGTAACTTTTAATTAAAAAATAAAAAATTTAAAGGTTCATTCCTATCACCAAAGGCTTAACAAGGCAGCTTTATGGACTAGGCAGCAGTGATCCAAGAGGGGAGCACCAGCTGCCCAATTGGTGCCTCTCCCCAAAGGTAGCATCCAGGACAGCTGATCTAGGTGCATCTCTTAGTTAACTGAAGAGCTGCCAGCTCCAATAACGAATATACAAACCACTAGCCCCATTTGAGCTGGTGAGAAAGTACTGAAAAGGAAAAAGCTAAATAAAGTTCTTTGGAAAATCCATGGAGAAAAGAACCAGGGACCTGGGAAGGTTTACTTGAGTGTTTAAGATTATGGAAGATAGAAGAATGGAATTTAGAGAATGTAGAGCTGAGTAGGGACACTAATGGGGCAACAGATTGCATGTAGGGAAAACTGGAATACTTGTAGGGACAGACTTTTGTGGAAGGATGTTTTGGACTGAGATGAAATAGACATTTGGGAGGATCAGGACTGATTTTTATGAGTGGGTGAAAGAGAGTGAGTAGACTGAACACACTGCTGAAAGCATTTTGATTGTGTTATGTTATAATTTTGCCAACCATCACTGTACTTGGTTTTTACTTACAGCCTCAGGTCCTGAAATCATGTGATTATGTGAGACTTTCAACTTTCTTTAAAACAATGCTTCTAACTTGTAGGGCTGTGGGGAAAAAAACCTTGGACCCTAAAGGTTTAACATCAGAAGACAATTAAAAAAAATTATAAATGTTGGAATCTTATCAAACATCAAAATTTATCAGTCAATATTGTTAGTTTTGGGATGGATTCATGATTTCCTTGTGTTGGACGGAGTAATTGCTTATTTATTTCCACACTGTTCCTTCTTTCACCCTTTTTACTTTTTTTTCTGTATGCATTGCTCCCTGTTGATTTCACAGACCCCCCAACCACTTAATGCAAAAAAAAAATCAAAATAAAATGCTACCTAACATGACAGAGATAATCTGAATACTAGAAAATAGCATTTTAATGTATTCTAGTTGCCTTTTTTTCTTATATTTTGTTATGATTGCTGTCCCTCGTCAGCTTCCCTGGTGTGAATGTGAGCATTGCTGTTCATGCAGCTAATATTTAGATTGTGATCAAGTTATGCAGCTCATGGAATTTACCTATATTTTAAAAATGTTAAGTGAATGTATTATTTGTGTAAAATGCCAGGTTGCCTGTTCTGTATATGGTCTGTGTATAAACAGAAGACCTGAATCTCCAAGGTTGTCAATGTCAGAAATCTTCCCTAGGGTGGAAGTGTTGCCATTGATTTCAGTGGGAACAGGCAAAGGCCCAAAGAAAGGAATTTAGCATTTCAATTTGAGGATTTTAAAGGAAAAGAAAAGGTCACAGAGTTTCACTTTGTTTGCTAAGTTCTCAGTACAAGAATGATTTGATCTCCCTGCATTTATTAATAATTTAAGTAAAGAATTTCAGTGGAAAGTTTCCACCAGTGTCAAGATTTTGAGATTCTCTAACAGAAAACAAACATCCAAAACAAAAAACCCTAAACCAAACCAAGAAAACCCAGATTATTTCATTTACTAAACACCAGTAGCTAGTAACTATTCAAAAGGCTGAATCCTAAACCTTTTATTGAGGCAAAATCCTACAGATTTGAATTTGTGTTCTACCTACGAGAAGACTACAGGTTCAGTGAAGTCACTGAGCTCAACATTTTTGACCTAACTGAGTCTGGACATTGTTGGCAGGGCTGTGGTTTTTTGTTGTTGTTTTTTCCCTCTTCAAGAAGCAAAGAAAGTTGAGATATAATGAACCATAGTTCTGCAAAGGCAAGAGTAGTCTCTGTTGTTTAGAGTCTCTGACTGCTCAGTCAGGACTGTAGAGAAGACTGGGCATTGGAGGGAGCCTTAGCACTTCCCATACAATACAATAGTATAAAGCTGGTCAGTAGGGGTGTGTGAAATGGGCCATATTTGATTCAGATTCAGCCCAAATTGGGGGACAGTGATTTAATTAATTGATTCAGATCACAGTCCTGATTTAATTCGGTGGAATCCGCAGATTTGATGCTGATTTTCAGAATCATTGATTCAGCTATAGACACAGCTTTAAATATTTTTTCTACATACCGTGAGGTACCAGTTGCATCTCATGAATGCTGCGATGGTGGAGCAGATGGAGCAAGGGGGGGTCCCCCTTGCGTGCTCGGCGGTGGACCCAGAAGAACTTCTGGTTCACTTCTGGGTCTGCTGCTGAGCACACAGAGCCCCCTCCTTCACCTCCCTGGCTCAGTGATTGACTTTGGGGGGACTCAGACCCAGACCCAGGAGGCACCAGTTGCTGAACCAGGGGGTGTCTGTGTCCGGATTATTGAATCTCTCCAAATCCCTCTGCATTGACTCAGAGGGTTCCAATCCAGTTTGGAGAGATTAAAGTGTCTCTTGATTCAATTTGGATTTGGGGATTCGGCTGCCAAATCAGCAGGTGTAAATGGAAAGTTTGGCCCTATAAACAGAGGTGCCTGGGCACTTTAGCTCTCAGGCATATGCATATGGGTCAGAACTCATCATCTATCCTACCCATGAGAAATCATTTATACCCTACTATGCAGGGAGAATAGCGAGATATTTTCCTGACTTTTTAAAAAATGATAAAATATTAAAAAATCAGTGAAAATAAAGGCAGAGGGCTTAAAATATTAATTGCTCCATCATTTGCCCTTGCTTTATTTTCAGAGCTCAGAACTCTGTTTCAGAGGGAACAGGAGCAGAAAGACAGCAGGTAGCCAGCAGCAGAGAGTCAGAGCTCTCACTTGTCACTGTCAGTGCCTGCTGAGCAGTAAAAATGCAGGTCTGCAAAAAGCCAGCAACAGCTTCAAGGAGGCAAACTCTTCCTAAGGGCTGCAAAACTTTAGAATTAGACACAACCATGAAAGAGTAAGTTGGCTACATTATTGTGTTTGTGTACTCAAATGGAGTTTTCACAAAGCTCTCTCACATTTCAAAATAATTTTAAAAGCAACTGTACTTCACACAGTGGAAAACAACCCTGCTTTTCTCTTGTGGTTTCAAAAGTAGGGCAAGGCTAGGCTGTATAGAATGGTAGTTCATGAACAGTCTGGTCCAAATCCCATGTAGATCATTGGCCTAATCTCATCCTCTACTCATGGCAATAGAAGCTTTGGCATTAACTTCACTAATCTCAGGTTTTTGGCAGATGTATGACTGTTTTGCATATGCTAAGGCTAGGTGGGGAGTGTTCCATTAAATTTAGTGAGGAGTAAACCTCTAAAGGTTTGGAGTTTGGGCTAACTTAAAATGAGAATTCAGACATTGGTAGTTGTGTATAAGAATTGCCATACTGGGTCAGACCCATCTAGTTCAATACCCTGTATATGACTTGGGCTGGGTATTTCAGAAGGTGCAAGAAATACCAAACTAGGCAGATATGGCATAATCTGCCTCCTACATCAGTCTTATCCTGATCTCATAGTTAAATGGTATTTTGAATAAAAGTAGATCATCAAAATGTGTTTATTCCCTTCCCTCATATTCAATCCACAGATTTATCACTTCAAATAAACTTCCAAGCATTACTTCTCATTCCAAAGATTCCCAAACTGTACACTCTTGTTCACTAGTCTCAGAAGAGCACGATGGGTGGTCTATGGAAAACCAACCAGCCAAGTGATGCTGCCTTTCCTCTTTGTTTCCAGCTACTAGTTCACATTAAATAAGATAAAATTATAGTAAAAGTTGGAATTTTCTAAAGCTCTCAGCATTGCCACCCAAGTCGATAAGAATTTTATTGTCAAAGGGGTGCAGAGACCAGTCAATGCCGAATACATCTGAAAATCTCCCACTAAATATTTTTCTCATAAATGCTTCCAAGTAAACAAATGCTATAGGTGCTACAGCACTGCTGTAGGTTTGCAGTTTGGGAGGAAGATATTAGGTAAAATAATCTGTTCAAGCTTGAAAGTGCTTCATGCAGTGTTGCCTCATTCTCATACCTGTGATTTACCTCTATCAGCTCCCCTCCAATTTGTACCCTCCCTTCTTAACTCCACATAACCATTGCCTTTCCATATCTGATTTCTTAGGAAAGGGTTACCTAATTTCTTCTACAGTAGGATACATACTGTAATTTCTAGCAATTCAGTGGACTAGTAAGTAGATCTATTCCTTCCTAATTCATTTCTTGGGACATATTAAGGGCCTCTTTACCTCATCAGGGTCCTTGACAGGCAAGAGAAGGGATATAATGCTTTCCACAGTTTTGTTATTTTTCCCAGGATAGAATCACAAATACTCATCCATGTCTAAGACCCAATATGCCCGATATCCAGCAGAATATATTCAGTTGTATTGGTAGATGTCTGTGCTGTAAAAATACCCCCCAAAACAAAACAAACAAACAAACAAAAACACCAGGAGAACCAGGACTATATTCCTAGTAACAGTGTGACACATTATGAAGCTGTGTTCTGTCACTGGAAAGTTACTTAGTCTCAGATTTTAAACAGTATTCAAGTTTTGTCTGGCTTCAGCTCGGTAATTCTCCTTGAAGTGGAACAGGAATTAAATAGGATCACAAGGAAGTAGAGAAAAATCACTTGGGAGCAAGAGCAGGAATCTACTGTAGGGAGAGCCAAACCAAAACCGATTCAGTTCTTGTATCTGATCATGAAATGGTTATTAGAAACTTTGGAGCAGAGCATGCCCTCATCCTCTGGACATTGATTAAAAGACTATAACTGCCAGAATTTATATGGTAGAGAAAACAATGTGTTGGAAGGTAAACAAATGTTTTCACTGATGCAGCTTTGACAATGTCTCCTGCTTTTTTCTTAAAACTTTAGTTCATCAAAATATTTCCAACCAGAGCTAACACCAAGCAATAACATTGAGTGTATGGAACTAGAACAGTAAAATTGTTTTTTGATGCATCTTAGCTAATGATGAAGGAAAAGTCATTAGCAGGCTAACTGATTTAAGAACAAATAATATCATTGGTAAACATTTAGATTGGAATTAATTAATGTGGCTTGACAGGGCAGCACAAGGGAACCAGAATATGTGGTATAGCATAGCTGAATATGGACTCTAAAATGCAATTCCTTTCTTCAAGCACCACACGATTTTTTAGTCTCCCCATAACAGCCTTAAAATCATTTCTTCTGGATAAACTCATGCTAAGATATTTCTTTAAATGACAGCTGCCTATCACATGTAACACTTCCAGCATTAACAGCTGTATTGTGCCAGCAATTTTATGCAGTGATTTCCAATGACAGTCAAGCTGTATATTATTTAGACTTTTCGATACCTGAAGGAAAAACATACAAGTTGTCACATTTCATCTACTAGACATTATCCATTAAGTGCCAACATACATTTAAATATACCATGGATGAAATTTTAGGAAATTTGCACTGAATTTAGGTGACATCTTTCAGTACAGATTGATTATACAGATAAGCCAAATCCTGGAATGTTTGTGGATTATCACATTTTTTGTAAAATCAGATGTGATCAGTAAAAATTAATCCTGACAAGAATAAGATACTAACATATCATTTTTTAAATTACACTGAGGTAGGTAAATGCACTACCATAATTTCCATGTTGAAATTACAGCTTTCAGAGCTCTCAAATTATTGGATTGAAACTGAAATTTAAAAAAATTGATTTAGAAGTCCCAATCCCATTTTCAAAAGTGATTTATGTATTTAATACTACAAACCACCTATAGGCCTATATCACTTCTGAAAATGGGAGTTTACTGCATAACTCCTGTAAGTGCTTTTGAAGACTGGATAAGAATCATAATAAAAAGTAAATGGATTCAATTAGTTCACAGTGCTTCAATTTTATAGTTATTGCCATGGAACTTACACCTATTATTCTGTAAAAAATGTAAAAACCTATGGTATGAATTAATGAGAATTTATTTTCCATTTCAATTACATATCAAAGAACGTGGAAAACTGGTAATATCATTAAAGTAAAGTTTTCTTTGAAATTTATCAGGTTTCCAGTAACAAAAACAAGAACCACAAAATTTAATTAATCTGGGAAAAACAGAAAAACATTTTGATAGAAAAAAAAGTCAATGGGTTCTAGCTACAAGGATGGGCTGATCTAGGATTTTGAAAAGGGGGATGCAGATATTGTAATCGTGCATCATCACTTTTTAAACTTGTTGTTATTGTTATTATTAATACACCTAAAGGGCTTAGGACTATATTATTCAATTTAAGATCAAGCAAAAAATATATATAACTTTATTGGCATTTGCATTAATTTGCGATATCATGTATAAAAACCCACAACAACTACGCAGAATAATCAAAAGATGTTGTTTCTCTAATTCTGTTATCATTAAAATTTGCATCTCTTTCAGATTCATAAAACAAAATCTAGCTTTCTTGAGCATCTTGTAATGCTTCACTGAATTAATTCGACACCTGAGTTAATAATTGATCTGAGTTAATGTTTTTAGTTAGAGTTAAAGCATTTCTTCAGGTCTACAGTATCAGGAGCAATATTACAGAAGAAAAGCTAGCTTGGTTAGTGGAACACTGAGGCCATCAAAAAAAGAACAGAGGTCATTCACTCCTGTGGAATGAAGAGTTTAGAAGGAATCGGGTAGATTATCATGACCCATGAAGTCAAGTGATTTCCTCCTTGCTGCTTGAATAGAAATGCTGCCACCACTGTGAGGCAGCTGGTTTTAAACTTTGGGTGGACCAGGAATCAAAGTGGGGGATGCAGCTGTACCACTGCATTCCCTGGATCCATCCATGGCTACAAGCATTGACCAATATTTGATCAATGATCAATAACAACTTTTGATACAAACTGTAGTGAGATGAAGCTTCATCTATTTTATTTATTGAGAAGTTTCAGGATTGCAGTATTCACCTTTCTGATTCTCTCTCAACTGAGCATGTCGAACATACAGAAATATTGTGGCTCTACTCCAAGTAACATGGGGAATCTGCAGAAAGCATTTGGGTTTTGACACTAAAACTAGAAAATAATGTTGCAAAGTAACAGATGCCAGTGTTAACAGAAAACAGACGTATCCAAAGAACACCTTTGCAACACACAGTTAGCCCACATGACTGTAAAAAGCAAGTTCTGGAAAATATTTTAAATGTTCTTTATTCATTTATGAGCCAATCTGTGTTGGCTCATTCTTACATTCTTGCTATGAATGATGCATCTTCTGAAAGTTGAGAAATTTATCTGGAAAAGAAGCACCAATTCTCACTTGTAGAGAAAGCAATGGGTGTTCCCTTTATTTTTCTCTCTTTTCCACTGGAGTGTAGGAAAAATATAAAAAAAGAATGTGCTCTCAAAGGCAAGTGGTCATGTTATATCCTTGGGTTCTTTTTATATCCTTCTACTCAACATTTTCTGGCCCATTTATCATTCATTTTATTATACAGTAGAATCCCTTTGAACCACTGTCAGTACATGTTTCTTGAAACAAGCAGGCAGCTCCTTTGAGGTTCCATAATATGCTGGTTCATTTTTCTTTGTTGTTATATGACCTTTTATTTCCCCCCTTCAGTCCATGTCTAAATGCACAGGTCAGTCTGGATGCAGTGGTGCCTTTTGTGCTGAAGCTCAGAGATATTTTGGTTTTAGCTATGCCCATGCAGAGTACATGCACCTTGCTTCCTCTCATGCTTTGTGCTAAAGGGTAGTGTAGATGTCTCTTCCAGATCTTGGTCCTTGGCTTAAGACCAAGCATTTTTGCTGTCCTCACTGATTACCATTTTCCAAATGTACTGCTTGTTATCACTCATTCAAAACAGGAATGTATGAATGCAGCCTGTCTGGACTTCCAGTGGCAAAGAAGTTTAGGGTTTGGTCTTGATATAAGGCTTTGTTAACATTTTATTAATTAATTTAATTTATCAATAAACCCCTTTCATGAATTCCTACTGTGGTGCTGCCATGTTTAATGGCACCAGAGGACCTCACCCTGCAGGAAACAAATCACTTCTGATCTTTACTGACCTGGGCCAGTTTAAGTATTGATCCTGTGCTTGAGCCCTCATAATCACCAGTACTTTCCATGCTACTGCTTTTTGTATGTCTCAGAGAGTGATCAGGACTCTGACTAGTCTCACTGTACTCACCAAGGCTTTATCCTTCATGGTTCTTTGTTTCCCACCATGAGTCCTAGAATACTAATGATAAGAGAGACTGGTCTGTGGAACACCTTTAAAGGACTAGGGCCAGGATCCTTTTGTGAGTGTGGCCATCTGCTCATATTATCCATGGGCACTGAAGATATTTAGAGTCAGTGGGTGCATCTACATGAGATGCTAACTGCACAGTATCCTTATTCTACTGCACAGTAGTGTGCAGGGCAAAACCCATGCTAATATTCTACTGTGCAGTAGTATTAGGCTACTGCTCAGTTAACATCACTAAAAAGCATCACTAAAAAGTAGGGGTGCACCAATAGAGATTTTGTAGGCTGATACTGATGGCCTATTTTTAAGGATCCATATTGGCTGATACCAATTCAATTGCTGATATGTGGTCTGGCAGCTTGGAGAGCAGCGTCCGGCTGGTAAGTCTGTTGTAGGGGAAGGGGCAGGAGGAGGGAAAGAGTGTGTGTATAAGAGAGGGGCAGATTGAGGCCCCTGTGGTCAGGGAGGGTGTGGAGCAGGGGCAGGAGCAGGCACTGTACAACTGGGTTGGAGCGCAGGACAGACCTGTGCTTGGCTTGTTCAGGTGGCATGGGGAGGGGAGCATCCCCCACCACTATGCTTACCCCAGGAGGGCATGGGAGGTGTGTGCCCCTGGATCTGCATGTGGGGCAGGGGCCTGCTGTTGTGGGCTGGGGCCAGGGTGGTGCTGAGCCCTTTCTAGCGGGAGCTGTTTCAGGGCTGTGCTCGGGGCGGGCGGCAGTGGCACTGGGAGAGAGGCTATGGGGGGGGATTAGCTACCCCAAAATTCACCATAGTCCACCTCCCAGTGCCACCTGCCCTGAATGCAGCCCAACCCAACCCCCTCACCGGGAAGAGCCTGGCACAGCCCTGGCCCTAGCCTAAAGTGGTAGCCCACTGTTGCCCTGCACACAGATCCAGGGGCACATCCCACCCCATGCCCTCCCAGGGTGCACATAGCAGTGGGAGCCCCTCCCCCATGACTCCCAGATGAGCTGCTTGCAGCTCCATCCCACACTGTCCTGCAGCTGTGCAGTGCCTGCCCCAGCCCCACTCCCTCCCTCACTGCAGGGGCCTCAATCTGCCCCCCTCATGCCCCTTCCCT